TACGTTTTTATCAACACATTGTAAATGCCTTACAAAATGTATAATACACTGAACTTTCAACAAATTTCAATAAAATACTTAAACTTTAAATTTATTTTGTATGTGAGTATTTCATTTAATTATGTTGGTAAATTAACTTATTCACTTATTAACTATAGTTAAGATTATAATGAGATTATAATATTATATTATTAAAACGTGTTATTGAGATTTAACAGTACAATACATGTATACAAAATTGTATTAAATACTTTTAAAACCATTATAAAATATTATTTTAGATAAAATTGAATACGAAAATATTGTGAAATAATCAAAAGTATTTTATATTTTGGAATAAAACACAATTAAAAATTACTTTTAAGTATTCAAAACGCATATGTAAAAAAATATATTTTTTAAATAAAAAAAATTTAAAAAAAATAGAGCTGATATTGGGGACGGGTACGGCCTTTTTGTAGGTGGATAGTTGGGAAGGTAGAATATATAAAGTTTTGTAATTTACACCTGTAAGCAACGATAAACCATTGCTAACGAAAAGCGATTCTGAACGAAGAAAAAATTTAATATAAAAGGTAAAAAACAAAAAAAAACAATGTGCGTTTTCATGACAACAACGGTAGCTGAAAAAAGATTAAAAGATTAAAATAATAAAAAATTAATAATAACAAAAAATAAAAAATATAAACGGCTGCCGATGAAAATCTTTTTTTTTTTTTTTTTTTAACCCAAAGAACCAGTTTTCTCTCTCTATCCCGAATATAAACGGGCTTAAAAATGACCTTTTCAAAGTACCAACTAGAGCCGAAATGCAACAAAAACGGACTCTAGTCATGCTTTGATTGAGGCAATATTTCTAGGGGGAAAAAATGCGCACTATGTAGTAAGATCCCTCGCTTCGCTCAAAATCTAAAATAAAATCGGGTCACACCACACAAATCGCTATTGAAATGGAAATAATATGATAATGCGACGTAAGTATACAAATCATAACCCATCGGTATTACTGGCTGTAACAATGCGGTCGCGTCGGATCGAATACGAGATTAATTTATATTGTAATAGACGAAAACACCTTTATGAAGGGTAACTGCGTAATGCACGTGAATAGGTTCTGCAGCGTACACATCAATACAGCAAATGCGTTTGACTCGTAACCGTCCAAATAAAGTGCTTTGTAGTATGCTGCCGTTTGTTTGATAGTGTACGGTATAATGACGTTTGTCGTGACTCGCGAGCTTTTATAATAGTATTATAATAATTATTTAAACGAACGATTTATTTAATATTATTTTTAATGTTGAAAAAACGTGCAGGCTATTAATAATTTTCCGTTACCCTCCATTACACCGCGTCGTATTAATTAATCTTCTTCTCTTTCAAGACCCACTGTTACGGTTTTGAATAACGCTAGATTTTTTTTTTTCTTTTTTTTTTTTTTCTTCACAGTTCGTCGATATTCCTAACCTAACCCAACCTCTAGTCCATTAACGAATATATTATTTAAATTGTGTTTTTCTCCGGCCCATTTACTGTCTATGTTATTATAATGTATTTTGTTCAGAGGGCGCAATACAAAAATATTCTGGCTCTGTATCTATCTAACGGACAACACAGCGAAAATGTGTTTCCGTATTTCCAACAGTAATCAGACTCTATATCTATTGCCGAATTAAAAACGACTATATTTACCATGTTTTCACAGAAACATTTTTTTTCATTCATTCGTTAGTTGTCAGTAGTCAACCTAAAGGTTAGTTCTACAGCATTATTTATATACATATATATATATACAGGATAATTCACTAGCGTGCTCATCGCATTTTCTTGGTTAAATTTCGCATACATAATTCTGAGTTTTGTTATTTTTAAGTCTACTTAAAGCCTTAATTTCGAGTACTGAGATTTTTCACAATATTTAAGGAGTATCCTGAGGTGATATCAACTGAGGTTGTTCAAATGAGAACCTATATTGAAAACGCCATAAATAGACAGAGTACTACATTAAATAAATTTTGATATCGACATATTTTTTTTTTTTTTTCCGTCAACCCGTAAAGATATATTCCACTTGTAAGTTTTAGTAGAGGGAAAGTAGTGGGGCACTAATAAAAATCCATACGCCGTGCCGTCACACAAATGCCATTCCACTACTCTCCCTTTCCGTCTGTTTATGGAATTTTAAATATAGGTTCTTATTTGAAAAACCAAAAATCGGTATCACCACAGGATACTCTTTTAAATGTTGCGAAAAATCAAAGGGTTGAAAAATATCGGCTTTGACTACTCTCAAAAATTCCAAAAATCAGAATTTCAATACGTATACCTATGCAAAATTTAACCGAAAATTTGGGGTGAGCACGCTTAGTGAATCACCGTATATATTGCATACCTTTGTAGTCTGTATAAAAAAAAAACCAATTCTATTAAGTTTTAAATTGAAGAAAGATGTATGGTAGAAAAGTTGTTTACGGACACAAACTGTTTTTAAAAAAACTACCTACCTTACGCATAATTTATTACGTTATCAATAGTTATACACGTTTCTCTTTTTTTAAAAAAAATAAGTATACCCTCACTGATATTATAAAAGACAATATGTTCGGATGTTTGCGACTCGATCACGCCAAAGCGGCTGAACAGATTTGGATTGAGTTCGGCGCACACATAAAATATGTTCCGGATTAAAGCGTACGATTCTTTTTATCCCGGTAATGCGTTCCCGCGGGATAATTATTTACAAAGATTGTTTTTATTTTTTTTTTTTGTTTTTTTTTTTTTTTTTTAATTTGAACGTTCTATAATACGGATATCGCAGTACACAAATGCTTCCTGTTCACTCGGGCGCAGGAAACGTCACGTAAATCGTGTCATTTTAATCAACCGGTTTCGGTTTGATACGTTTAACAACAATGTTATTACATTTAACAAGGTGAATAGGTACTTGACTGCGTGTGTATACCGCGCACAACTGTATGCACACTAAAGTGTACACATATTGTGCAAACTGCACACGGGCGAAGCCGTATAATACAGGTAGTATATTACATCGTGGACACCATCTATATAATAATAACATTTAATAACTGCAACAGTTTGCCATGGTTTTATTTGTGACGCAATAACGAGAAGCAAAACATTTATGCGATGTCCGATAAAGTTTGTCCGTTATACGTTCGTACATCTCGAGTTTGTATCACGCGAAATACGTACCCACGTGTATTATTATAACACCAACATTGTTGTTCACAATGTATTGACACGTGTACAGGTACAGCGTTTAATTTCGACACCACGAAGACGCGAACAGTAAAACCGTTGGCGGTAAATTGTGGGGCGTGGTGCTTGAGGGGTCTAAGCCCGGTGAAAACCTACAAACAGAGAAACCAGTCCCCCCTCGATTTACTAATTAGTACTAATAGTTAGACGCCTCGAACCCCACAACAATTTCCGCGCAAAAAACATTATCAGAATATTCCACGTTGACATTGATTTGTTGTTTTTTCAATAAAACAACGTTGAATGTTCAACGAGGATTATAACGTTTTAAAACAGTGACGATGATTTTTACAGGCCTCACCAAGTGGGTGCACGCATACATATAATGTGAGTACCGAATACGATTTTGACGCGCCCGTTCGTACGAGCGCGGGTTCGGGTGGTCTTATTTTTTTTCTCTTGTAACCGATTACGTTAAACCTGATCTAACCCACACTGCTCTTGGTCACCAAAAATATAAACACTTTCTTGTTTTACTGACACACCTATATTGTGTTATTCATTTATCCCCCTCTTCCCCGCGTGTGCGCTAGTCTCATCACCAGCTGCGCCGCCGGTACTACACGAGCGGGCACCATTTACCGAGGATCAGCGCTGCTCCGGGAAAAACATTAGTAATAATGAGTACTTAATTTATAAAACGCACTTCGATTGTGCTTTTAGAATTAAATGTAAGTTGAATTTTCTCGAAAACAGTTAGGTTAAAAATTGTTTTTTATCAATTGATATTAGTCCCTGAAACGTAACATTTATACATTTTTTTAATTGATCTGAAACCGATCGGATAAAGTAAGAGGGGAGTGGTAACTTCATAGACTGCGTAAACGTATCGTGTAATTTTTGTTTTTTTTTTTTTTTTTAATAATTCATCTCGACTCGAATCACGCCTATTTCTATATTGATAAATTGATTTTTCGTAATAATATTGTATAATTATGGGTATACTATTATTAGTACTTTATAAACTCACAGTCTGCAACGAACTGATTAATGTTATCCAAAAAGTTATTCGCTTGATATAGTTTTCAACTTTTTATAAATCATTTTTCAAAAGTAAATTATGATTTACAATCGATACCTATCTAAAAAAAAAAAAAAAATGGTATGGATTTTATTTTACATACTATATGTTGCACCAACACACTTATAATTTATAAAAGTTTATTATGAGTGACTTTAATGGATATTAGTTTCCGAATATTGAACGTCATATTTCATTTTGGAAACTATATAAACATTAATTTATTAGTTAAATTTGAAAAACTGTATTATATGTAAATCGGGTAAATTTTTGGATTAGCCTTTTTTTCATCAATTTTAAAAACATGTTTATATGTTTTGTATTAAGCGGAGATGGTGATTCATATATATTGTACCTTATTAGTTACCATGCCTAGTTACTATTTTAGTTTTCGTATTCTTTTTTCTCGGTAAACTCGTTTCGACTAGGTACCAAGTAACCTGTGTTGACGTATAGTAAAACCATTTACAAATTGTACGCGGTAGTATACTATCGTGTATGGTAGGAAGATATATGGTAGGTACACAAATTGAACAAGGAAAAGGACTTGGCGAAACGCGCAATGAATCCCCTAGCTTAAAACCAAAAGAAATATAATATTGTGACTACACAATATATTATATTTACAAGAGAAAAATTATTTTTACAATATTTTTTCATCGGCATTATATTTCATTATAATATCGTTTACCTACCAGATGGTTACTAAAAATACGCGTTCAAATTTTTTCAAAATTTCATTCCGGTATGAACGTACCCCGCATTTTAAAATCAAATTTCATTGCGGGGTTCTCCTCTTATGAACTGTTCAAATGATAATATTAATATATGTTGTAGAAAATAATTCACCATTATTCAATTTTTTTTTTTTCTTTGTGAAGCCTACAACATGTTCTCAACATTTTATCGTTAGTTGATCAGTAAAATTCATGCGTTATAACTACATCACAGACATAGATAATAAACTGGATTGCTAGGTTCTCTACATTATGCTAACCGTGAAAACCCTCGAGGCCGCCATATCTGCTGTTAATAATAGATCACTAGTATCTATTATCAGATCATAATAATTTTGATATCACAAATTCTAGTCTTATAAGTTATAATCATAGGCATAAAAACTTGTAAATTTCTAATTTCTGGCATACATCTGACCCCACTTAAAATGGCGGATAATAACTTCACGTCGTCACGTTATATCACGGTAGTCAGTAGGTAGTCTATTTTATTATTTATATCTGTGATGTACATATAATATTATTATAACGGGCTGATGGCCAATTGCATATTATATTTATAGTGCGCAATGGTTTAGAATAAGGTGACCTTTTCACCAAAAATTGACACCCAAGAGAGTAAAATACCTACAATTTTACTCAAAATCGTTTCTTTTTTTTTTTTATATTGAACACAATGATTATCAAATTTAATTTGAAAGTAATAGCTGCATCACTTATTACTATTATGATTATTAGAATAATTATTGTCTACTAACGGCTACGGTAATAACAATCATCTCTGTAAAGAACGAAGTGAAATAAACGACCAGTCTATGTACATCATCAGTTTTTAATTTTAGATTTGAAGCGAAATAAATATAAATCATATTGATTTTACTACAATGTGTGTTTTTGTTTCTGTTTGTAATTAACGTTTCGAACAGAAAACACACTCAAATCATTTCAAGAAAAACTATTGTTTTTATTTTATTCGCATAATACTATGGAAATTGGAGGATATTTTTTTTTCGTTCTAGTAATTTACTTTAAACTTTTTATATAATTAAAATTTTTAAAAATATATCACAATAATATATAGTAACGTCCGTAAGAGGAGGTAACAGTATTGTCCACAAAAATATTTTAGACATTTTTTTTAATGTCCGCTTATTAATGAATTAATGACGCTGAATAACTTAATAGTATTGGTAAAAAATCGTCTTTGGGGTCAAATACTAAGGGTTTAAATAGGTACACAATTGATAACAATTTGCGAAAACGTCACAATCAGAAATATTGATTTGAAGTTTGTATCAAAAGAAACGTTTTAAATACGATTAAAATAATATTATTTTATATAAAAATCCACTTTTTACCTTGTACAATAGAAATAATTATAACCACGATAAAATAAACGTAAGAATAAATTCAACTAACAGAGTCCTTTTAAACAAGAAAATTGTTGCATTCATTCCCGTTGAATCGTACAATTAGTAAAGTAACCTTAATAAATGTACACTTCAAGACTAAACGGTAATTTTTAGATCTTTTAAAAACATTTAGTATGATAATAAGTTGATGATGACTTATTTTACTTTGTGTATACATCCATTACCTGTGTTATAATATTATCATACAATAAATTATAAGAATACAAGCACATCGTATAATAAGATGATATATTATGTATGTATTGTATAATATGCATTATACGGAATGATTAACTACAACAAATCTGTATTTCGATAAAAAAAAAAAAAACCTGTCCTAGGATAATGGGGACGGGTACAGCCACTGTTATAAGTGGGAAGTTAAGACGGTGGGATACAGAAGGGAATTTCATGCATGTCTATAAGCAACGAAAAACTATTGTTTACTAAAAACAATTCTGATTGGAGTTCGGTTACTAGTGATGCTTTATCGACAATGTATGTAAATATATATATATATATCATTATACTAGTGATAGGTAAAAGAATGTATTGAAATCGAAATTTATTTTATTTTAATGTAACTCGGTCTATAGAACTAATTGTTTTTTTTAAAAATGTGTGTTTCCATGACAACCATGGCTGTTTAAAAATATTAAAATAATAAAAACTTAATAATAACAAAAAATAAATAAAAACAGTTGCCAATGGCAACCTTATTTTTAATTTTTTAATCTCTTTTAACCTAAAGGACCATGTTTTTCTCATTATCTCGAATATTAATGAGAATTGCACAAAATGACCTCTTTAAAGTACCAACCAGAGCAAATTTTCATTCAGAAAAAGTGCTGTACTTGATAATCGCAGTATGCTTTCTGGTAAAAAAAATTTTCACATAAAAAAAAATAAACATCATTGTGAAACCTATACATACATTCCTCGCTCCGCTCAGAATCTAAAAGTATATAGTTTCTTTACAGGAGATCACACTAAAAAATATACGATTTCACTGAATTTTAAATTATATTGGATCACTCTGTAGTCTGTATAGGTGTTTATCGGTTTTTTTGTCGATTGATCAATTTCTGTAACACTCGTCCACATTCGATTATAATAACATATCAATCGACCGCAATAAAATGTATTTTATAAGTATTCAACTATGCAATAATATCCATCATAATATGTTTTGTATTTTATACTGAATTGCTGAACAAATAAATGTTGGACGGTTGAACGAATCACATTGTTATATATAAAACAACGAAATGGCTGATTATTAAAATCCAAAAATACGCAATTATTCGTCTTGGCACTAAAAATTGTGTACGATTTATAAAATAACGCAAAACCGTTGTCGACTAAATTCGCGGTGACACCGCAATTATTTAGTAGTGATATTTTTTCGTGCTTTTGAAAGCTGAAGTGAAATTATTCAACTCGCCTCAAGTTGAATTTAGTATCAAAATACGATATAATGCGATCGAATATTAAAAAAGAACCGATACCGCTGTTAAGCGTGCTACTATTATTAGAAGTTGAGATATACAGGGCACAAATACGCGAGTTATTTAATTTATTCGCAACGATGAAAAATCGGTAACGAAATACGATTCTGAGCGAAATTCTGTTATATGTATTTTTAAATGCCGACATTTTTACGATTTTCGTCAAAATTTTAAGTTCAAATTTTGAAATACATAAAATATAAAAATCGACTCCATTAAGCTCGAATTTTTTTCGTCACTTAATACTTATATTAATTATATTAGCCATTAATAATGGGCCTTTCTATCAGTTAAACAAATTACAATACATAATAAAATAAAATAGTAAAAACAACATTATTAAAACGGTTAATACTCGTAAATAAATACATAAATAAAAAATGTGTACGCATACATTTTCATGTACATATTTATTTACTATAATTACTATAGCATAGTATCTACTGCTGATTTCTTAAATTGTCATAACATTTGAGAGAGTGTTGACTAGAGAAAAGCCGTGGATCAGAGTTGTTCAATCGCTCCTGACATTTAATATCGCGTATTCGGAATATAATATATTTATGTGCAATAATAATCGAAGAGCATCGCGAAGTGTATTCGATTTTACCAAAACAAATACGATTTCGACGTTGAACCACCGAAACCCGCGTGAACCATGACAAACGGAAATGGCCAACGTACAATTAAGACGTAAAACTGTATTGAAACGTGTATTCATATGCTGAAAACCGAAAGCTTTACAATATTTGACAATATTTATGTGTATACATATATAATAAATGTATCGGTATAATATGTAGGTGAAGATAATCGGGTGAGTGTTGTGCTGAACGTATTGTATAGGATATGAATACGAAGTATTGATTACTGTGCAAACGCGGGTGAAAAAAATAAAAATAAATTAACTACCAAAGTTCAAGAACGGTTTCGAAAAGCTACCCGCCGATGCTCGGAAAATACTGCAGTAACGCGCTCAGACGAAAAATATCAGAATACTTCTCGAAATCTCGAGCGAGCCGAAAGCGAACAATAAACTACAATTAGGCGAATTTCACTAAATCTCCTGCGTTTTTCACATAATTAACACTGAAAATTTAAAATCCGAAAGTTTAAGCGGATTGACGAGGGATGTTTGACGAAAAATTTACTTAAATGTATCCGACAAAAATGTTTACCTGACGCAGTATTCGGAAATGTTTTATCGACAAGACGTTTTAAACAACTAGTTTGAAAGTACACAATTTATTTGTCTATCAAACCCGTCGTTTGGACATTATTAAAAATATATACTTGTATTTTGAACAGAAACCCCCTGCAACTTTATACCGCAGTAGTGAAAACTATCCTATCGGGTGATCTTTATTCATACACTATCCCACGAGTCATTTTAATGATTGCGCGGATAACTTTGCTGCAAATGGATTTATGGTGTGTCATAATTAAAACGTGTGTCTGCTATAAAACGGGACTTATACGCGTTACAATTGTTATCGTAGGTACGCATAAATGGTTGTTATAATTAGGTATACTGTTTACGCGACAGAAAAATTAAATAAAATATAAGTCAGCGTTTTGGCAAACAATTTAGAAAGCTATTTAACACGCAGTATGACTGATCATATTTCATATCGTATAAATGTATACATCATATTAAATATTGTGCGTGCATTCACTACACGTACCAACGTAACGCACATACGTTTCAAAATTGTTGACACTTTCTTTAAGAAATTTTCATTAAAAATATAACGGATTACTATACACACACGTGTATTTATTTATTTCTTTTTTTTTTTTCTTTTCGCTAATAGAAAACAACCAAACTCGCAAACACTATGTTATTTACGGCGATATAGTTTTTCTCTTATTTATTTGAAAATTAAGACTATAGCGCGAGGATTACGAGATTATTATATTTATAAAACGTGTAGTTTTATTTTCCCAAAACACAGATATTTCAGTTTCGTTGGCCATACGGTGCTTATAAACTTTTTTTTTTTTTAGAGACATCTGTTAATTCGGCAACCACACTATATATAGGATGATAGAAGTCAACACTTCGGTGGATAATTCTTTCTGCGCCAAATATTTTCAGGCGTAAAAGTTCTTTAGTAATGTCTTTTACACGAGGGAATAATTCTTAAATACAATCCACATTAGTAAAACAGGAAGTTTGAGGAAACTTTTCGGGGATGTGTTTACTGCAAAAGTGTGTATGTATTTAAAAGATGATTTTGTGGTTTGAATCGATCATTTAATGTTC